CTGTGAGAAAATCAACATAGTACTGGCAAAAGAAAGACACGAGGATCAGTGGAACAGGATAGAAGATGCAGACACAACTACAAACACACTTAGCCACCTTATCTTTGACAAAGATGCCAAACATTTTCACATGAAGAAAGATAGTCTTTGGAATAAACGATGCTGGAAAAGCTGGTTTTCCACATGCTGAAGACTGAAACTAGACCCATGTCTAACACCAGACACTAAACTAAAGTCAAAATGGATCAAAGATCCAAATATTAAAATAGAAACACTAAATTTACTGGAAGAGAAAATAAGCAGAAAACTCAAAGGCATAGATGTAGGCAGACACTTCATAAACAAAACCAGACTGCAAGAGAAATAGTAGAAAAAATAAACAAATGGGATCTCACCTTATTAAAAAGCTTTTGCACAACAAAAGAAATCTCCAACAGAATGAAAAGACAACTCACAGAATGGGAAAAAGCTATAGCCAGGGGGCTGGGGATTTAGCTCAGCAGCAAAGTGCCTGCCTGGCAAGTGCAAGGTCATGAGTTTGATTCCCGGTCCTGGAAGAAAAACAAAACAAAACAAAACAAAAACTATAGCCAGCTGTCCCACAGACAGAGGACTTATATCTATGACATATAAAGAACTGAAAAAAATCAGATCCCCCAAATTGAAAGACCCAGTCCAAAATGAGCATCTGAGGTGAATACGCACTTCTCAGATGAAGAAATACAAATGGCAAATAAATATATGAAAAAATGTTCCATACCATTGGTCATTTGAGAGATGCAAAATAAAGCAACTCTGAGATTTCATCTCCCCACAGAAAGAATGGCTGCCAAGAAATCAACCAATCACAAATGCTGGAGGGGCTGTGGGGAAATAAGAACCCTTCTCCACTGCTAGTAGGAATGTAGACTGGTACAACCACTATAGAAATCAGAGTGGAGAATCTTTAAGAAACTGGGATTAGAGGTCCCATTTGAACCAGCTATTCCCCTTCTCAGTATCTTCCCAAAAGAATTAAGAACATCATGCCACAGTGATATATGTGCACCCATGTTTATAGCAACACAATTTGTAAGAGCTAAATCTTGGAAACAACCTAGATGCCCATCAACAGAGGAATGGTTAAAAAAGATGTGGTTTTTTATATAATGGAGTACTACTCAGCCATGAAGGAGGATAAGCATGAGACTTTTATAGGTAAATGGATGCTACTTGAGACCTTAGTCATAAGTGAAATAAATCAGATGTACAGGTACAAATACCATATTGTCTCACTATGTGAGAAATTGAATAAGAAAATATGATCTGAAATGTACAATAGATACTGTGAACTGAGAAAATCTGTTCAAAAGAAAAGACAAACTGTGATGGGGGAAAGTGGAAAGGAAGAAAGGGAAAAAGAAAAAAAAATGTATACACAAGATAGAATTAAGATAGTTTTGCAGCTAGCTTCTTTTAGTTCCTTGAAAAGAATGTTTTGTGCTAATATTGTTTAGACAAGATATCATGCCTATATCTTGTACTCTGGTTAATATGC